ATATTCTGTATTAAAAAAAAAAAAAAAAAAAAAAAAAAAAAAAACATCCTCCGCTTTTCGAGTCACCCTTTACAGGTGACTCGGAAAGCGGAGGACTTTCACAGTCTCCAAGATCCGAGTCACCTGTACAGGTGACTCGGAAAGTGTTTTATGGGAGACTCCAAAAGCTTTTTTTGTACTAGTGATAGAATCAAGGAATGCATATTTCTTTGAAAATATATTTCCTTGTTGGTCCAACGAGGGACCAAGTACGTCAAAACGAACGTTTGACGAAACTATGGACAATGATAGTGGGGAATCTGAGAAAGAACCCGAGCTCGAGCCGAGACGCAGTAAGCGGGCGAGAGTTGGAAAATCGTTCGGTCCTGATTTTCTAACTTACTTGTTAGAGTACAATTCGGGTACTCTAACTTGTTTATTAGAAAATGAACCTGATTTTCTATCTTGTTTGATAGAGAACGAACCTCGAACGTATGTAGAAGCCGTGACTTCTACGGAAGGACCAATGTGGAAAGAGGCTATAAAAAGTGAAGTGGATTCTATCCTACAGAATCACACTTGGGAACTTGTTGATCTTCCTCCGGATAGTAAGCCCTTAGGATCCAAGTGGGTCTTTAAAAGGAAGATGAAACCTGATGGTTCCATAGAGAAGTATAAGGCTAGGCTTTTAATCAAGGGTTACAGGCAACACGAGGGTCTCGATTACTTCGACACATATTCTCCCGTGACGAGAATAAACTCCATTAGAATGATACTTGCCATAGCCGCGTTGCGGAACTTGGAAGTTCACCAAATGGATGTGAAAACCGCTTTCCTAAATGGCGAATTAGATGAGGAAATCTATATGGAACAACCCGAAGGGTTTGTGGTTCCGGGCCAAGAAAGGAAAGTGTGTAAGTTGGTTAAATCGCTCTATGATTTAAAACAAGCGCCTAAGCAATGGCACGAGAAGTTTGACCATGCGATGTTAACTAACGAGTTTAAAATAAACGAAAGTGACAAATGTGTCTACGTTAAGGAAACGATAGACGGCTACGTCATTCTTTGTTTATATGTCGATGATATTCTCATTGTTGGTAGTAATGATCGGATGATCAAGTCTACCAAAAACATGTTTAATGCGAGATTTGACATGAAGGATATGGGTTTGGCTGATTTAATCCTCGGGATTAGAATCATTAGAAGACCTGATGGTCTCGTGTTGAGCCAATCACATTATATTGACAAAATCCTCGAGAAATTTAACAAGGATGATGGTCAAATGGCTAGAACACCGTTTGATACAAACACTCATCTGACCAAGAATCACGGAGAAGGTATTTCACAAGTGGAATATTCTCGGGTTATTGGTAGTTTGGTGTATCTTATGAGTTGTACTAGGCCGGATATTGCCTTTGCGGTTAGTAAACTCAGTAGATATACGAGTAACCCTGGTGCTATGCACTGGAAGGCAATAGTAAAGGTTATGAGATACTTGAGGTATACTCGTGATCTTGGACTGCACTACGGAAGATATCCCGCTGTACTTGAAGGGTATAGCGACGCAAACTGGATATCTGATATTAAAGACTCTAAGTCCACGAGTGGCTACGTGTTTACACTAGCCGGTGCATGGAAATCCTCTAAGCAAACTGTGATAGCTAGATCCACGATGGAATCTAAGCTGATAGCCTTGGACAAAGGTTGTGAAGAGGCTGAATGGCTACGCCATTTTCTAGAGGATATTCCTAATTGGGAAAGACCAGTACTTCCAGTATGTGTGTATTGCGATAGTCAAATCACAATTGGGAGAGTACAGAGTCATATGTATAATGGTAAGTCTAGACATATGCGTTGGAGACATAATACCATTAGACAACTGCTCACAACTGGTGTTGTCTCGATTGACTACGTAAAGTCAAAAGACAATATAGCGGATCCGCTGACCAAAGGGTTAGGCAAATAAGTTGTGGAGAAGTTGACACGAGGAATGGGTCTAATGCCCTTGGACTAAAAAGTTCTATAGTGGATACCCAACCTAGCTGGCACCTAGGTTCAATGGGACAACTAAATTATGGAACGGAGCGTGTCACTGTGGGGTCTCGGACTCCCTACCACTCCTCGTTAAAACAGTGACTCCCGCACGAGGCTAGCATGCCGATGCTTTAATGATTCTTGAGTATGCGGGATACTCGAGAAAGAATCACCTATGTTAGAGAGAAGTGAGGGTCGCTTCAAAGGAGAATTGATGGGCAACAATTCTTTAGAAACTCTCGCAGAACCAAGAACGGTGACCCACGACCAAAACGGGCACACTCGTGAGAACAAGAGCATGGTTGGGAGGTTCCTATGTGGGATATGTCATCGTCTACACAAATGGCAGATGGTTCAAAGACATCGCGTTCTACCGTACAGCTAGTAGAGTAAACATGTCTTCGCAAGGGAAGGTTCAAAGGGTATAGTGACTCCCTACCTATCCTATGCAGGGATCGACCGTTTGAACACAGTTGTTTCCGATTTCAAAATACTCTGAAAATCAATTTTTCATTCATGTGGGGGATTGTTGAAAAAATAACTTAAAATGGCATGTTAAGTGGCTATTTTGTGGTACAATTATCAGTGTGGTCCACTTCCGATTTGGGTCGGGTCAAAGTGGATTCGGATTCTTCGTAGTGAAATGAAGAGATTGATATATTGTACGCTCAAAACAGATTATGGGTGAATGAGATATTGATTCTCAAAGTAGACCCATTTGAGTTGGAAAATGAAAGGGAAAAAGTGAGCTTTTGTCCCACATTGGTTTGGAAAGAGAATTTGCCCCCTTTTTTATACAAGAGCTCTTTTGAAGCTTGTAAAATTGTATAGCATAGAGGTTCTCTCGCGCGGGGAGGGGGTGGGTTGCAAATCAAATTCCAACTAGTAACGAGAGCGGTGAGGTCGAAAGTTGAGAACCAGTGGTTAAAAGCTATTTAACTCCTAAATCCCTATAGTATTGCTCCTAGCACTTGACTCTTGCAAAAACCCAACACCAACCGCTATTCTTCCTATTCTCCAAAACCCAACACCAACCACTATTCTCCATCTTTATTCTTTCCTTCCCTTATTTTCCAGAAAAATAATAATCTTATTTATTTGATTATTATTTGTTTTTCACCAACGGATTTCCAACATTTGTTACATTTGTTTTTTGCACAATTTTTAATGTAACAAAACAAATGTTACTAACTTTCGAATTTTACCCCTCAATTACAGGATTCAAGTTTATCTAGTCAAGCAAAGGATTCATCCCAGAGAAGAACATGAGAACTAAGGATGGCATGAAAATAGCAAGTTTCCTGCAATGGCGGCAGGCAGAAGCACAACTCTCTAACCTGCAAATTATACAAGTGAAAGCTCACCAGATGGAATGGATGTTTGGACAAGGATTCATTGGTTTCTGTAATGACCAAATTAATTTGGTGGCTTGGCTTGTTTCCAAGACCAAACTTGTTGGCAGGTTTTCCATCATATCAGGGATATTATAATCTCAAAATCAATCCCTGATTGCCGTTAGTGTGCCCGGAAAATGTTTCTCAACACTTAGAAATACCATTGAACTAAAGATGACACAATGAAAACTCTTTCCACAATTCAAAAATAATATAATTAAAAAAAATGATAGAAGAACATTATTCCCTTAACTAATTGATGTATGATTGTTCAAAGTAGGAGGTTGAGATGGATGGAGTTTATGAAACTCTAAGTACATGATCTTGAGGTGAACAGATGAGGGCAAGTTCAGAGGTAAACAAGGTTATTCACATATCTCATAGTACGATTCATCTGGCTTGGTCAGTGTTTGAAGATCATATATAGGAGAATAATTGGTTCCCACCTCTTCTCTGCATATAGCAACAACTCTGGAGGTAATATCATTCCACTTAATGGTCACGTAATGGAAAATGTTACATATTACTTTCCTGCAATCATACTGTTCACATGAGAATACGTCCAATTTTACAAAACATTATCATCACCAATGTTCTATATCAATCTTCTGTGAATGCCCATGTGATTGGTGGTTCTAAGATGGTTCTCTTTACTTATGAGATCTAGTTTGATGCATTATTTGTAACATCCCGTTTCAAGGCTCATGCTTCTTTTTGTGGTAACCACTAACCACTGTGACTTATCATCCAATCCGACTCAATTTATTTATGAATTATGTGCTTCATCTTATTGTCTATAATTATGTCAATACATTATTATTAATGGTAAGTAATATAATTGGTATATTACATAATGCTCATCCATTTCTTCAAATTTGAGAACAACAATTTGCTCTATTCTACTTTATGATTATATGAACCCTCATAAAAGAGTATTTACTTATTTGCTTTATGGTAACAATTATTATTTACTATAAGCCATAAATGTTGAGATTTATATCATATTTTATAAATGAAACTATAGTCTACATGCTAAACATATTCTAGAAGGCAAAGTTCATAGCACTAGGAAAATTATATTCGACTACATAGTACTTGACTATTTGACATAAAAAATTAGGTTAGAGATATAATAAGCGCGAAACATTAATTATGCTTTGAGAGAGTTTCCATGCACTACTTTTATTGTCATGTTGAAAGTCAACATAACATTAATAAGCTTTGGTATGGTAAGAAAATAGTTGTTGGTTAAAGGTTTGAAAAAATATATATTTAGTTAAAAAAAAAAAAACTAAATAGATTATATTATTTATTTAACTCATGAATAATAAAAATGATAAATCAAATGAGACCGTAAATGTAATTAGACAACTTAACTACAAAATATTTTCTAAAATAAACTAGACAGAAAACAAGTAGAGACGAGGAACAATATTCCTTATCCTACTCTAGATGGAAAAGGAAACCCTTTATTAAGTAATTAAGATAATGTAATTAGACAACTTAGCTATAAAATATTATCGAAAAAATCTAAAAAAATTATTATATGCACCAAGAATATGAGAACTAAGGAATAAAGATGGCATGAAAATAGCAAGTTTCCTGCTTGAGTGCATAGTCCTTATTTACTGGCTTGTTTCCAAGACCAAACAGTTAGAATACCATTGAACTAAAGATGACACAATGAGAAGTCTTTCCAGTTTCCACAATTCAAATATGATAGAAGAACATTATTCCCTTAACTAGATTGATGTATGATTGTTCAAAGTAGGAGGTTGAGACGGATGGAGTTTATGAATCTCAAGTACATGAAGCTCAGAGGTAAACAAGGTTATTCACATAGGGCACACATATATCATATTCCGGTTCATCTGGCTTGGTCAGTGTTTTAGTTTCCTCTGTTTGAAGATCATAGGAGTATAATTGGTTCCTATGCTGAATCACCACCTCTTCTCTGCCTATAGAGACAACTCTGCAGGCAAAATCATCATCCATCAGCATATAAACGTCGGGAGGAAAAACAGCATGTCGCACTAATTCCCACTTTATTACTCTATCAGCCAATTGGAAATTAACCTTCACTTTGACCACCGCTTCAGTGTAATACAATCGCAAAACAACCTTACAAAGCATTCCATAATATGTTCCCAGTAAGCCTTCAGTTTTGACGTTGTCCAGTAATTCTGACCTATCCTTTGTTAGATCAAAAGAAACAATTCCATCACTCTCTATAAAAGGCCAGTAAACAACACCATTGACATGAACACCAGACCCCAGAGTAGCTTTTTTAGCTCCAAAACAAAAATCCCCAGAAACTCTCCAAGATTTAGTCTTGGAGGAGTATATTTCGAATCCAATCGCATCACCAAAATCAGGAAATTCGAAGGCACAAATGAGTTTGTACTCAGATACATTGGTGAGCCGTGACGGTTCAAATATCACCACAAGTGCTGGCTCAGATCCATGACAAGCAGTAGGTTTTGGAAGTTTTTTCCAATGTTTTATAGCTGGGCTGCACAAATACAAGTGCCCATCTTCAGTTTGTCCTTGGCAACACAACAGTCCATTTGATGAGGCCCTAATCACAACGGGTTCTGGCAGAAAGCTCAAAGAGGGATCTGGTACACCAGCAGATGCTGGATGAATTGGTATGAAGACAGGAGGAGTTTCAGGACTAGTCTGACAAAAAAGGCCTGTTGTGTCGGTGAAACGAAGTGATTGATTAAAGTGGAAGGTTGGTGTTAATATATGGCGCTTCCAGAGATGACAAACAGCCATGAATCTGAACAGTGATTTAGCAGGAAGGAAGTCAAGGGCTTCTTCTCTAATGATATCATTAAGATCGTCCTCCTCACTGTTTGATGTAGACGCAAGGTTTCGTCCTTGATCCATTGTATCTCTACAGATTGATGGGCTGCAATAAACATGTCAAAGCAACCATATTACATTACAAACAAATCCCATCAAGTATAGTATTATCCTCTCATTCACCAATCACAATTCCCAACTACAAACAAACATCATCACATCATTAAAATTGACCAAGATTTTAAGTGTTCTTACTTTCATTTGAAAGAATGTTTCAATGATAATATAGGCATTTCAGAGAAGTCTTGTAGCATAGATTTATTATGACAAATTGAAATGCACACTCCCTTACATATGTATTTACATTTTCTTGACTTCAAGCTAGCTGGCCCTTTTGCTTTTCTTTCCATTTTTTTTTTTTTAATTTTCATTTACTTTCCTTATCACTTTGTTCTAGTCAACCTAGATCTTCTCTTTTAAGTTGACAAACATCCACTAAAAACCATTTGGCATGAATAATTAAAGAAATTCACATTATCTGACTCTGGAAAATAGAAGAGCAAGTATAGCATAGAAATGAGAATCATAAACTCAAAACAGTAAAGGCAAGAAAACCATACAAACTAGCAATCCAGTCAAGACAAGAAAGTGATGTGTGTGCCCAAGAACGAGCAGAGAAATGAAAGTGACAACACAGTTATATTGACACAAACCAAAGAAGCAAAAATTCAATCAAGAATTCAGTAAAGAACGGGGGGAGAAGTCGAATACGAACCAGACAACACCTGGAAAACGGAACAAAACCAAAACCTAGGCGGAGAGAAGAGAAGAACAGTGGCGGTGGCGACGGTGGTAGCAAGGACTGGCGCAGGCGTCGTTGGTGGCTGATGAGAGAGGCGGTGGAGTCCTTGGTGTCGCGGTGTTGGCGGCGGAGAGGAGAGGTGAGGAGAGAGCGATGAGGAAGAGAGTTGAGCGTCAGATCTGGTTTTTACGACTGATCGATCTATTTTGTTTATTTTGGTCTCAGATGAAGAAAGGGTAGCTGATAGTTATATTATAACTATCCGCTACTCTTTCTACGTGGAAGGGCAGCGGAAAGTTATATTCACTTCTAATATTAATCTTTTGGGCAACGGAAAGTTATATTAAGGTAAAATCAATAATTTGGTTCCTCACATGTTGACGAATTATCAATGTAGTCCCTCAATTCTATATTCATCAATCTAGTCCTTGAAATCAATTAATTTTGGTTGAATAAATCCTTCCGACTGTATTCCGTCGTTCAGCTGGTGAGGAGTCCGATTTACCATGGACATTTTTTTTCTTTTCCCAAGCGGCGATGAAGTCCAAATTGGGCCTGGTCCCTTCGCATCCGCCACAACCGGTCTCCTCCCTGGTTTGTCTGCCTCTTTACTTTCGGTTTAGTGTTTTGCTTCTGATAATCAATTATTCTTTGAGTTTCACCCTTCTTTCTTTGTTGTGAAAGATATCGCCATCAAGGCGGTGCTATTTCAGGGCAATAGTTCTGGTGGGCTCTACTCCTTGCCAGTGTCTCGTTCTACTCCGTCTACGTTCCTGTCAGCACGAGCCTCTACTTCAGGCTAGCATAACCGTCTTGGTCATCCACATCAGCGTGTTATTAGTCGTGCCTTGTAGTCCTGTTTGGTTAGTGGGTCCAGTAAGTCTCTTGTGTTTTATATGCCAACTGGAAAAATCTGCGCGTTTTTCCTTGCTACGTGTTGAGTCGTCTAGTTCTGGCATTCTTGATTTAGTTTACACTAATATTTGGGGTCCTACTCCAATTCTTTCATCTAGTGGACATCGTTACTTTGTTATATTTGTGGATGACCACTCTCGTTTTACATGGTTTTTTCCAATGCGCTTAAGATCTGATCTATATAATATTTTTGAGTGTTTTCGTGTCATGGTCGAGTGTTCCTTTTCTCGTAAAATAAAAGCTATACAGTCTGATTTGGGTGCTGAGTATAAAAAGTTACATTCTTATTTTCTGCAATTAGGTATTAATCATAGATAATCTTGTGTCTATACTCATGAACAAAATGGTCGTGTTTGGATCATGCCTTTGTTCCATCTAGGTTTTGGGATTTTGCCTTTGAAACTGATGTCTATTTGATAAACACAATGACATCCAGTGTCTTGAATAATTCCAGTCGTCATCTTATGCTGCATAAATCTCATCCGTCTTATTTTTTTCTTCGTGTCTTTGGTTGTCTATGCTATCCTCACCTGAGACCTTACAATCGTCATAAAATGTCCTACAAATCCTCTCCTTGTGTCTTCTTAGGTTATCCTGACTCTTTTCGGGGGTATATGTGCATGGACTTACAGACTAATAAGATATATATTTGTAGGCATATACGATTTGATGAGGCAATTTTCCCCTTTGATACTTAGATTGTTTTGCAGGCACCTCCAGCTCCACAGGCTCATCCTTGGGCTGAATCCGTTTTGCAGCCATGTCATGACACCTCAGCTGTACTTATGGACTCTGTATAACATGTTTCGACTACTCCTGTTGCAGCTACTACACGAACACGTGGCCGTCCAGGTAGCCGCTCTATAAAGCCAACCACACGGACTCATGCCATGACCACTAGGAGTCGGTCTCGTGCTCCTCCTACGGTCCTAACTGCACAAGTTTGTCCTACTGAGCTCACTTGTTATACACAGGCAATTAAGTATCCCGAGTGGCGTGAGGCAATGGATCAAGAGTTCAATGCTCTTCTACAGAATCAGACATGGTGCTTAGTTCCTTCTCGATCAGATATGAATGTTATTGGATGTAAGTGGGTTTTTTCGTACTAAACGGAAGGTTGATGATTCAATTGAAAGACACAAGGCAAGGTTAGTAGCAAAAGGGTTCAATCAGGTTCCTGGACAGGATTTCTTTGATACATTTAGTCCAATGGTAAAAGCCCACTACTGTCAGGTTACTTTTATCTTTGGCTTTATCCTCTAGTTGTGTTATTAGAATGTTTGATGTTCATAATGCTTTCTTAAATGGTAATCTGGCTGAAACTATCTATATGCGTCAGCCACTTAGATATATTGATTCTCAGTTCCCTAATCATGTTTGTCTGCTAAAACGATCTTTGTATGGCTTAAAACAAGCTCCTAGAACTTGGTTTAATCGCCCACACACATTTTTACTGTCAGTTGGGTTTAAGGCATCAAAGGCAGATGTGTCATTATTTCACTATTCACGTGATTCTGCTTCTGTGTATTTGTTGGTTTATGTGGATGATATACTTGTGATGGAAAGTGATCAGAATTTAGTGAATAATTTACTATCTAAACTGTCTACTGCTTTTAAGATTGAGGATCTTGGTGAACCAGGTTTTTTCCTTGGGATTGAAACTATTAAATGTGATGATCGAATATTACTTTCTCAACAGAGATACATGACAAATATTTTTAAACGTGTTGGTATGGCAGAATGCAAACCTCTAACTATTCCTATTCCTGTCTTGAAATTTGTTCCTTTCAATGCAGATTTGTATGATGATCCTACGCAGTACAGAGTCTGGCTGGGGCGTTGCAATATCGCACAATCACACTACTTGACTTGTCTTTTGCAGTTAATCAGCTTTGTTAGCATATGCATGCTCCTACAATATCACATTGGGAGCAACTAAAACGTGTATTGAGGTATGTTAAAGGAACAATTACTTTTGGTTCGCGTATAAGCAATGTTGCAAAAAACGTTAGGCGCCCCCTAGCGCCGATTTTTTATTTTTTATTTTTTTATTTTTTTTATTTTTTAATTAAAAATTAAAAATTTTCAAAATTGAGTAATAAAACATAAGGTTTCCATAGTTATTTCTTAGAAACTATTTACGAAAGTGGTTGTAAAATTGTTTAAAAGATTGTTTAAACCATCTAAATACATAAAAAATGAAGAGCTAAAGATGCATTTTTTTGATAAATTAGTGGACCAAACCGCCTTTGAAAAAATACGCGATTTGAAAAAAAAATGTCCAAATCGGACAACCGAGTCAAAAGTTATGCCTTCCGGAACTTTTTTCACATTTTCAACAAAAAAAAATAATCCCCGAACCAGCCGGCTGCGGAGGAGGCTGCCGAGGCCATTCCTCGCGGCGGCCTCCCACCGCCTAGCGCCTAGGCGCGATTTTTGCAACACTGTGTATAAGAAAGTCAGTGTCAAGAGAACTTCATGCTTTTTCTGATTCTGATTGGGCTGGTTGTCCTAAAGATTGTAAGTCTAATAGTGGTTATGTTGTGTTTCTTGGGTCCAATCTTGTGTCTTAGGTCCAATCTTGTGTCTTGGGTCTGTAAGAAACAAAGAACTGTGGCTAGATCTTCTACTGAGACAGAGTATAAAGCTCTAGCTGATGTTTGTGCTGAGGTGATATGGATTTTATCTTTGCTACGTGAAATCAATATTCCTGTTCCTAAGTTATGGTGTGACAATCTTGGTGCTACTTATATGTGTGCAAATTCGATTTTTTATGCTCGCACCAAACATGTTAAAATTGATTACCATTTTCTTAGAGACAGAGTTGCATATGGAGATATTCATGTTAATTTTATTTCAACGAAAGATCAACTTGCTGATATATATACAAAGGTTTTACCTGGTCCTAGATTTTCTTTTCTTAGAGACAAGTTACATGTTACCAGTTTACCCTGTGTTTGAGGGGGAGTATTAGGACTCCCTATCCTAGTCTCCCTGTGATTCCCTTACAATATATATTCATGTATCATGTATCTTTGTAATTAAGTTTAATCAATACAATTATTTAGTTCTCATCGTTCTCATCTTATTTTGATTATATATATAGGTTTAAGTTCCAGTGCGGGTGAAGGTTTCCCGTGCGATTGTGCGGGTGATTAATGTGTACGAGTTTTTGTACTTAATGTGCGTGAGTATTGTGGTTAAGGTGCGTAAAGTTTGTGCTTAAGGTGCGTGAGTTTTGTACTTAATGTGTGTGAGTGTATACGTAATGTAAGTTGTTAAAACTTAAGGAGCGTGTGTTTTTGTGCTTAAGGTGCGTGAGTTTGTGTTCTGAATGTATTTTGTTTGTGTGTTTAATGTGCGTGTGTTGTGTACTTAAAGTGCGCTAATGTAATGCTTATGTGTGTCTACCCGAATAACCGCACGAGAAGCACTACCCCCACCTGATCCCTTCCCTATATATATATATATATATATATATATATATATATATATATATATATATATATATATATATATATATATATATATATATATATATATTTGATGCACCGTCGGTGTATAGATGCTATACACCGGTGGTGAATGAGGAGATGACACATCATTAAAAATAAATTGAAATCAATATTAATCGGGTCCTTTTTTAGAAAATATCTAAAACTTGTATTTTTTTTAAGAATTTTTTTTTTATTTCTAATAACAAAATATATCTACTTTTCTAAATATATTTATTACTTAATTATTATATATATCTAATTATCTGTACTAAACAAATATATATCTAATTATTAATAGGATTAATAATGATAACAGTGTATCGCTGACACCTTCGAATTAACCATGTAAATAAATGTTCTATTATTACTATATATATATATATATATATATATATATATATATATATATATATATATATATATATATATGGATTGATTAGGAATACCAATATAATAAATTGATTATGGCAATACCTTAAATAAACAAATACAATTTCCTTTTGAAAAAGCTTACAAATTATTGTATTTCATAATATTATTGAATAAATATTAACCATATGTATAGATTTAATTATATATTGTATTAAAATAATATATATCAATCTAATATAGTGATGGTTAATATGGGTAAACAATATATAAGCATAATCTAATATACGAAAATATTCATTACTAACCATATATAACTTAGGAAATAACAAAACTTATTGAAACTTAATTATTTATAATTTCACCTTTAATATAAATATATAGTGTTAATATCCGAAATTAATAAAAAATTTCTTAATGTGGATATATATATTTTAAATAATTTT